TTTTAAGTTATTGTTACATTATGTTATGTAAGTTAAGTTTTAGTATCATTTCCCATCTCTCTCTTCTGCCACCAATTTACACATCCAACGTTGTCTATCCTCAAAGGTAAAGTGCAAATAAAACTACATTTTTTTTTAATCAATTATTATTCTATTATCATTATACATTTACAACTACAAAACACATTTTTCAGTGTTTTCCTTACTATAGTTTTTTTTTATTATTTTTTTAATGTACTACTTAGCTTTAATTTGAGTGTGTTTTTTGTGTTGGAACGAATTATATGGTTTTACATGTAATCGTATGAGAAAAAATGATTCATCTCACGACATTTTCATGATACAATTTCAGTGTCGGAACGGATTAATTTCGTATCCTGAGGTAACACTGTACAAAAATTTTTAAAAGTTAAGATTGAACATTAAATATAGATTAATTAAATAAAAACACATGTTTATTTTACAATTTTATTATTTGTCTTTTTATATAATAACAATAAAACCAATTACAGCAAATTAATAATCATTTTGTCATAATCAATTCTGAAACCATGTCTCCTTTTATTTTGTTTTTTTGTGTCACAACTAGGTTCATAGATATTCCTGAATATAGAGTGATGTCAAAGATGCCCAGTGTCTATCTATGAACCTAGTTGTGACAGAAAAAAGAACTGATCTAATTTGCTGACTCAGGACACTTCAGGACACATAGATAAAACAACTTTTTGCTCCATTCTTATTTTGCATGTTTCATTACTGAACATGTTATTGTTATTGTACAATGGTGGTTAGTAGGCTAAATGCAATGTGCACTCCACAAGAGATTACTTCAGAAGACTGGTCTGTCTCAAAAAAAAAAAAAAAGTATACCTCTGAATTTCATCAGGTCTCAAAAAAGTGGAACCTAGATGAGCAGAGATCTGCTACTCACAAATGAATGCAGAGAAGTCTCTTCAGTAGTTTCATAAAAGCAGCAAGAAAGTGAGGAGAAGCATTTCAGTTTGTACAGATGTTTATGAAAGTGACCAAAGTCAGTAACAACTACAGTCAAAACACAAACAAGATTCCTATCAAAAGATAGGAAATCCTTAGTTCACCTCTGTACAGAGTAGGCTGGCAAAAAGGTCTTGCTCTGCTTTAAACCAGAGTTAATATCTACTGCTTAGAATGATTGCAGATAGTACAAATTTTAACAACTATAAAAACTATTATAAGAAATACCAACAGCTAATAGCTCTTGGTATTTCTTATACAGTAGAGCATCGGTTATCCGAATCAATTGGGGACTGAGGTTGTTCAAATAACCGATTATGTACGAAAAAATATATTAACCTATCCCGTGTTGAAATTTTTCTCCGTTGCGTGTCGCTTCGAGTTGAATCTTCGTCGATGTTAAGCCTAACGTATACTTTTTAAAATAATAATCGTGGCTATTGTATCGTTAAAAATTATTTCTTTATTTCTTACAAACAAAATAAATATATTGAAAAATATAAAAACCAAAAAATATATACTTTAGATGATCTAGTATCAAAAAATGTTCGATTCAGCAGGACACACAGTCTTCAGAAAAACACCACACAAAAGTGCCAGTGCTGCCAGCTAAAAAACACACACCAACAAAAAAAATATTAGAGTAGCCAAAGATTGCAGCGCCACAGCACTAGCAAAAATTTAAATTTGCCGACTGGAATGCTTTCGGATAAACAACGCTCTACTGTAATACTTTTTATAGGGCCTGAAACAAGAAATACCAAGAGCTAATAGCTTTTGGTATTTCTTGTTTCAGGCCCTACAAAAATATATGATATATTTTGTTTAGCCAGTAAATCAGCACTTACATAGATAGCAATGTCCTTATGTGCTGAAGTAGCTTAATGAAAATATTTTCAAATTAGTTCATTTTTAATTTTAATTCAGTTAATTATTATTTTTAAATTTATTAAATTGAAAAAGTTTTTAATTTCTTTATTTTTATTTATACTGGTAATATAGTTAATTAATTGATATTTCCTGTTGTCAGTGAATGTTAAGTAAATATTCAAGTTTTACAAATCATTTAAGAATCATTTAGAAATGAAACTTGAAAAATGACTATTAGTTGCATTATACTAAATTATCGTATTTACTTGCATATAAGACAAGGTTTTTATTCATTTATCACAGCTTCAAATTCCTACGTTGTCTTATACACAAGAGCAAAAGATTCTTTGTGTTTTTGCAAGTAATTTTTGTGAACCATGTATTTACATTTTTTACTGGATGCTTACCCTCTTGTATTTAAAAACATAAGTATTTTATCTGGGTTGTTTGGATTGTTCTTGTATATTGTCAGGAGTAATGATGTATTGAATAGCAATAGGAAAAGCTTTGCTTTTCCTATTGCTATTCATCGTTACTCCTGAAATCCCAAATCACACAGGAGCTCAATATAATTATTCCCATGTGAAAACAGATGAATATTCAGAAATCAGAATTTGGAGAAACTCATAAGTGTAATCAATTAAGAGTGGATTTGACTTTTAAGAATTGGCAAAAAAGATTTCTGATTGTCCAGCTTTACATGAACAAATTATGTTGTTGATTTTACAAGATTTTACCTTAAAGTTTAAAATTCCAGTAATTTTTGCAAGGCAATGTGTGCATTTACGTTCATTTGATATTTTACTTGTGATTAAACGAAATAAAATTAGATTGTACTAATAAATCTAATTTTCTTTATTTTGATCTTTAAAGTCACACCTCGTTCTATATGCAAGTAAATATGGTGTTTAAAATTTTTTAACTTTACAGGTCAGAAGAAGAAAAAGTAAATCATATTTTGTTAATGACAATTCAGAATCCTGCTTATCCTATTACAGTGGTAAGTTTTAAAGTTTCTTAATATTTAAAATCTGTTAAACGCACTATTTCATAAGTTTTATAATTTTTTTTCATGTTTCTGATAAATTTTTAGGTATAAATATATGATGAGAATATTATAACATTGATAATAAGTTAACTAAAAAAAGAATAAAAATATAAATAAGCTTACTTTTGCCTTTATTACTTGAGTTAAAATGAACAACTTTCAGAATACACTTTAAATTTAAATGCAAAAAATAATAGAACACATTTTATCTTAATTTCAAATCTATAAAAGTAAACCACTTTTTACAATTATTTTGTTTTCTTTACTCCTTTTGCCTATGGATACTAAGAGGATGGACTTTTTTTGAACCCATTATGGGTTAGGTCAGGACCACACTGGATTGGCCTGTTGGTGAGGGATGTGGCTTGACATACTGGGATGAACCACTTCTTGAAAAATTTCTGGAATTTATTGATTGTCTAGATTTGTTCTTGGTTTCTCAGAGCAGCAGCCTGACACATTAACTGGTTAATTATCTAGCTATCAACTGGTGATGTTAAGAGGATTGAGAACCTGAGGAAACTCTGCCTCTCATGTATTTGTAAGGTTTCACTAAATATAAGTGATTACACTCAGAAATTCCTGACACCAAGAAGCTTATGCCTACTATTCAAGTTGAGCATTTTGTGGATGGCAATAATGTGGTCTTGTATGTGAGACTAAAATGATGGGGTAGGAAATGATAGGATTCAGTTGAAAGAAGTCACTCAACACAATTAAGTACACTGCAACATTTATTAGATGGCATGAAAGTTTTTACAGTATGCATGTAAGTAAGATAGTATTCACAGTTGCATGTGTTATTGTTGCAGAGAGGGTTTACAAATTTTGATACATTCAAAATTTACTAAATGCACTAAAAGATAAAAAAATACAGTAATTTTTTCAGCTATCACAGAATTGTTGAATTTATTATGTAACCAAAATAAAAGCTGGGATGCTCATGGGAAATTCATAAAAAATATATAGAAAATGTAACTAAGAATATTTGTAAATCTATTAATTAATTAAATATCTAAAAAGTATAATAAGTATTGAATATAACTTTAAAAAAAGGTCAGTCTGTTGAATATTTGAAAAGGTAGTTAATCAAGTTTTACAGTAGAACCTCGAAAACTCGGCCTAATGTGGACCGAAGGGTGGCCGAGTTTGTGAAAATGCCGGGTTATCGGGAATGGGGTTCAAAAAAATAAGTATGCGTGTTTCCTCAGAAAATACTGTACTGTACTTGTATGTATTGTTTACNTTATTACACAAATATCTAATTAATAATTATATTACGATACGAATACAAGACAAAGTATTACCAAACAATAAAAATAGCATTACTATATTACCAATATGATTTTAAATTATACAATTATTCTTTAAATGAAAATTATTATTTCTTTTCAGTTCCTTTATAAATATGTAATATATAAATTGTGTAATGTTTTGTAATATGTAATTTGTTGTAAAATCTATACTTTGAGTGCTTAAAAAATTTAAAATGTATGTATGTATGTATGTATGTATGTTAAATTGATAAAACTTTATCAATTAATTTGTTAATAGGAGAGTTTTAAAAAGTATCAATAATACAAATGAAAATTTGATGTTTAACAGACATTACTTTGAGAATGTTAGAGTAGAAAAATATTTTTATATTGATCAAATATATTTAAATTTCGCAGATTTTTCAAAGTGATAACAATGTGAATATATTTATTATTAACTTCAACAAACAGATATGTTATAATTAAACGAAATGTTTAAAAGATAAATTTTGTTATATAATAATGAATGAGGTTGAGGCCGAAGTTTTAAATGCGAAAACGTGTACGTTGGATGTTCAGCGCTGCTTTCCTGTAAGCCTAGAAGTTTGACAATGGTGTTTAGATAGTCAGTGGAATCGTGCTCGACATTCCAAACACCATTGTCAAACTTCTAGGCTTACAGGAAAGTGGCGCTGAACGTCCAACATTCGCATTTAAAACTTTGGCCTCAACCTTGCTATTAAATCCAGAATTTACTTTTATGTAACTAAATTTTGATATTTATAAATATGGACTATTCAGTTAAAAAATATAGTAAACAAATAATTCCAATAAAAACATTCAACAAAATTTAATTTCCAAAAGCAGATATATACTTGTACATGTAATGACATTCTTTTTAATAATGAACTTGATTTTTATGTGGTTTTTGATAATAAAATTAAACCACATATAAAAAATAGACGAAGACGAATCGAAAGTATCGTGAGCGCATATTATGATGTATGCATAGGCATATGTGGACTAGAGAGATAGAGGAAAGAGAAAGGAAAGAGCAAAAACGAGCGCTTAAAAAGGATAGGCAGGGTCAGACCCTCAGATGTGCGAGGATTCTCCAACGATAGGTGTGTACGTGTGCTGATATTTGTAATTATAAATTGTAAATACATGTGACTATTATTATTTTTTTTTTATTTTGTGCATGTTATAAGTTATAAATAAATATAAACAAACAACACTAACTCGATAACATTAAATCTAAATATCAAAATGATTAATTTACTGTGTTTTTGTTATTTCTTACTCCTGTTTTTAGGTATTCGGTTGAATAGCGAAAAATAGGCCGAATACCAAATAGTAATCGAATATTTGCTACATCGCTAATTTTTAAACTTGAGCACCCCATGCTTTTATTTTTGGTCACATAACACCAAGAATACTGTGAAAGCTGAAAAAAAAATTATTTTTGAGTCATTTAGGCCTATGTGAATAGAGTTTTCATGAAAATTTTTTTAATATACAGTGGATTCTGCTTAATTGGGACTCATTGGGACTAATCCATTTTGGCCCAATTAAGCAGCTTTTCCAATTAAACGAACTAATAATAAATTCTAAAATAAAATATGTAATGCATAGGTAAATAAATAAGTAGGTAAAAAATAATAATTAGGTACCTATTTTAATGCTTTATTAAACCAAAATACAGAAAATATTTCTACTATAAATTTGCCAGACTCACGATGATGATAACTGATTTGCATAATGTTAATGTTGCCAAATATTAGTAGTGATGTACGCAAGGGTTGACTATTCGATTCATTTCTGATCGAACAATTTTTCCTTTCTTTCTTTTTAGTTAGAACATGTTCTAACTAAAATGGGAGAAAGAAAAGGGTTTGTCCAAAAGTTATTTTACAGTCTCCTTTGAGCACAGTTTCCTTTACTTGGAGATGGGCCACTTCAGTGGGAGTGTCTGTAGAATCCGCCAGCTCAATTCTAGTTCTCAACAATAGGATGGCTGCTGTGTGAATCTAGATGTAATTATGCACGCAATACCTTCCAAGGAAACTCTAGCTGTCTTCCAACTAAGTCGAGAGACCTCGAAAAATTGTTTGACAATCTTTGCCCCTTTGTTTTTAAGGGATTGTCCGGTCCAATCTAGAGCAGGGTCAGTAACTCACATTCAGGTCTACCTGAGATGAAATCCCCATGTGATATGTCCTGCTGTGCTGACCCCCCTCCGGAAAAACCAAACTGCCCAAGCAAAAGACAAAACATTAGTGTATGTAGTGCTGCCTGAGGCCCATCAGTGGCCAAGCGGTCTTCGTATCCTTAACACTGGGAGTTTGGTCATGGGTTCATGCCTTGCTCAGGCAGGCTGACCACATGGAGTTTTCTGGGTTTTCTCCACATCTGTAATGTTTAAATAGGGGCCAGTTTCCCTTAAAAAGACCTCCTAGAAGGCATCCCCCTAGGCAGATCGCTCAAGTGTTGCATTGCCATAACTTAACAAACAAACAAACAGTATGTAGTGCCTATGTATTTTCAGAAGATTACTATATGATCAGAAGATTATGTATTAATTTATTAGTTTGGTTTCTTTTCTTTGAGATTTGGCCCAATAAAGTGGCTGCCCCAATTAACCAGTGGCCCACTTAAGTGAATCCACTGTATATATTCTAAAAAAAAACTTTTGGTGAATTTTAAGATATTTTTATAAAACACCATTTACCATTATTGATTTAAAATCCAAAATAAAATTTGTTTTATTGTTTTTTGCATTTGTATTTTAAGGTGCATTCAAAATGTTGTTCTGTTATGTTGTTTAAACCGAAGACTTTGAAATAATGATGATGATGATGAAAATATTCTTATTTCTATATTTTTTTTTAGCTAACTTTATTATGTCATATTATTTTCATTGAATATTTATACCTGGTTGTTTCAATGAGCTAAAGTTTAGTATTATCTGCTGTAATTTTTAAAATTATCTGTTACCTATTATATTGTAATCAAGGTTTTATAATTAGAAAGTTTTTATTATAGTTATGATGATAAGTTTGTGAGAAATGTTCAAAAATCTTTGCATTACATTGATCAATAAAGACATACAACTGTATTATATATTAGTTGTTACCCGCAACTTCACCCGCGTGGATTTTGCAAGCAAACAAGCAAAATTTATATTCAGTAGAAGTTTGGACACATATCTTGCTGACCACATGACTGCGCTGCGCAGTTATCTATCTCGCCCCTTACCACCCACTGACAACAAAAATATAACGCTTACCTAGATGATATCTTTTAATTTATATGAATGTTTAACAGAATAACATACAGCCTATGTCCTCCCTGAAGGTCCATTCTAAATATTGGTGAAAGAATTTTTGAAATCGGATGAGTAGTTTCGGATATTACCTCCTACATCCAAACTTACAAACTTTACCTCTTTATAATAATAGTATAGATTAATAAGTGTTGGAACAAACCTA